CGGAAGAGGGGAGGGATTTAGAATCACCTCTGGCCCATTTGTTTAATAAAGATTGTATAGTGTCTACTTGTCGCATTAAGGGAGGAAAAATGTAGGACGTGTACCAAATTTTGGAAGCCAGTAGAGAGCCTGCTGTTAAGGCACGGCCTTTGAGGGAGATATCTCTAATTTTCAAAAGAAAGAGTTTTTTTTCAAGTTTCTTGATCAGCGTAGGCCAGGTGGAATGATGCATTGTAAAGTTGGTATTGAAGTGAAAGCCCAGGATGTTGATATCAGCGTTATGATTAGGAACAGTGAACTGATATTTATTTTGTAAGGAATGTATGTTGGCTTTGGCAAGGTCGTTTAGAGGGATAAGAACTGATTTATTGAGATTGGCTCTTGCATTAGAGGCTCTTTCGTATTTCTTGATTGTATCGCAAATGAAGTCTAGATGTGAATTGCTCAGAGCTAGAATAGTTGTGTCATCTGCGTAGGCCTGATTATTGTCGAGGTGACTGTTGATTTGATAAGGAGAGGAGGACAGAGTTGCAAGGAGTGGTTCTATTGAGAGAGCAAATAAAATAGGGGAAAGCGGATCACCCTGCCGGACTCCTCTTTCTAGTCTGAATTCGTTGGATAAATGTTTATTGTCAGTGATGTTGGCTGATTGTTGTCCGAAGATATTATTAACTAGTTGGATAAAGACAGGTGGGAGACCAAAGTGTTCTAAGACTTTCGAGAGATACTGGTGATTCACCCTGTCAAAAGCCTTCTGTTGATCTAGTTGAAGTAGGTATGTGGGAGTGTTGATATAAGATTTGAGAACCTCAGTGGCTGTTAAGATGTTTAAGGTGGCGTCAATAGTATTTCTTTCGGGAAGGAAGCCTTTTTGATGATGTGGGAGATGACGACCCGCAACTTTGGCTAACCGTCCCGCCAAAATCTTGAGGAAGATCTTTGCATCGGTGTTGATTAGGGCAATAGGTCTCCAATTCTGAACCAGAGTTTTGTCGTTATCTTTTTTTGGTATGAGAGTAATAAGTGACCTGGTCCATGAACTAGGAACGATGCCATTAGAAAGAATTGAGTTGAATAGGGAAAAAAGAGAGTCAATAATATGTGGTAAGGCAGACTTGTAGAATTCATAGGTCAGACCATCTGGGCCTGGAGACTTGTTGTTGGGTAGGCTCATTATAGTAGATTTGATAAGATCATGAGTGATGGGGGCAATAATGTCATCATTATTGCCCGGAAATGGTGTGACGTTTGTGAGAAGATCTGATATGTCTGAAAAGGAAACTTCATCTTGCGAGTACAGGTGTTGATACCATTGTCCAATATAATTAAGAGTTGTTTGTTGATTAGTGGTTGAGGAGTTTGAAAGATCTTTGATGAGAAGAGAGGGAGAGCTGTTCAGACGTTCTATAAATCTGGAGTAGAAGTACTTGGTGGATTTTTCACCCTTTTCAGTCCATTTAGCTCTGGATCTGATTTGCCATTTTCGGGAGTTTTCTTCTATGAGGGAGTTTAATTCAATCTTTTCCTTTTCCAGAAGAGAGCGAATATCATCAGCATTAGGGATGAGTGCGAGAGTTTTTTGGTAGCCTATAATACGTCGTTGGAGCCTATTGATGAGGCATTTTTTTTTAGTGGCAGATTTTCTTGACTGTTGTTGTAGAAAGGAGGAGACTTCTTTTTTGCCATGATCCCAGTTGTTGGAGTTATGGATGATATCCGCTGCAGAAATCATTAGGAGAGAGTCTTTAGTGATATGGTTGTTAAGTTTCCAAAGAGTAGAGTGATCGATGGAAGATTTGTCAGTAAGTTTTGCCAAGAGAAGTAAATGATCTGAGTTGCCAGCTAAAGTAGACAGTTGGATTTTCCTAGTTGCCAAGTCCGGGGAGAGAAAAATGTAGTCTAGTTTGGTGAGAAGTAGGTGATTGTTTCTCGTCATTTGAGAGAAGGTATGAATGGAAGGGATGCCAGCGAGAACTTGCGTGTCAACTAGGGATAACAGCTTGTCCGACAGAATCGAAACAGAGGGATCTGATCTTGAAATTGATGTTGATAGGCGATTGGTTGGAATAAGATTGACATTAAAGTCACCAGTAAGAATATAATTGTCATTACTGATAGAGGGGGACCAGGAATCAAGAAACAAAAGTCTCCTTTTCCTGTCCGGAGGAATATAAACAGTTTCAATTCTAAAGATATGAGAGTTGAGAGTGAAGTCTAAGATTAAGTTTCGTTCATTTGTAGAAAAGGTGTTGATGACTTTGATGTTGCGATTGTTAATTAGAATGGCAACGTAGGGAGTCCAGGAGGAGAATGAGTGCCATTTTTTAGAAACAAAGGAGATGTTTTGTTTTTGAATATTGGTTTCTTGTAAAGTAAAGATGTCAATGTGATTGTAAGTTTTAAGAAGATTGGCCGTGTTTGAGAATTTGTGAGGGGTGGCCAGGCCTTTCACATTGAGAGTAGCAATTTGGAGATTCATTTAGGAAGAGAGATTTTGGACCGAGTGTTGTGTTGCTTGATGGGAGGTTGAGAAGATTTCTTTTTAGATTTTCTGTTTTGAACAAGTTGAAAATCTAGTTCATCATTAGATGAGGTTGCCATTTCCACTGTTTCTTCCTGGGTACTGG